CACTGCTGTGGCCTCTCCCGTTGCGGAGCACAGGCTCCGGACGCGTAGGCTTAGCGGCCATGGCTCACAGGCCCAGCCACTCCGTGGCATGTGGGATCTTCCCGGACCGGGGCACGAACCCGTGTCCCCTGCATCAGCAGGCGGACTCTCAACCACTGCGCCACCAGGGAAGCCCGAAGATAACTTTTAGATCACTAAAACCTGGTAGTATCGGAACTGTGGAAAAATGAAGAAAATTCTTAGCATATATTCCAAATCAAATACTAAAAATTCAGAAATAGGACTCCTTATAAAGGGAGTTATGCCAAATTCAGACATACTGGATCCCTGCATCACTGAGAGCGTGGCTAGTACAGCCGTGAACTGGGAAGTGATTATCAGCACATCTCTGGTCCAGGATTTCACTTATAAATTTGCAAATCAGTAGCATTTATCATGGGCCAACACTGCAGTTTGTTTTGTCTTTTGTTAGAAATCTTGCTCCACCCCTGTCTGCCTTTCTCTCTCCCCTTCTCTATCACACAGTTGTCAGTCTCTTGAATTGATTACCAAGGGGAAAACCATATGTCAAGCTATGTATTTCTGGCTCATCTAGTACTTCTTCATATGCCCTCTTTATCATCTTTCTTTAGATGGTCAAAATTAAATTATATGTTCCTCTTCCTTTACTACTATTTTCCATAAATTATATGAAGAATATAATTTTCAGTTTAAAATGGGAAACTGATATCAAAAGAGAATAAAATAGATTTTTCTCAAAAGCATGTATTGAGTAATAAGAATGGAGTAAAACACCTAAACATCTTAAAGCTATATGGAGGTGGGGGAGGGGGTGGGAGGGGATGGGAAAAAGCAACACAGTATTACTTGCTCCCAAAACAAATTATACTGTGAATAAACATGAAAAGCAGGTTTGGAGGATGCCATTTAGAAACCCACTCAAAGTGAGTTGTAGCTAGAGCTCTGAACTTATCCTGAAAATTAATTCCCTTTGACATAGGAAAAAAACCTTTTAAAAGAATCTTAGAACAGACAAATTTATAGACACTCAAACCCTTTTCAAGCTGCGAAAACAATGCTGGAAAGAAAAATAAGAGGAAACCCTAAAGACATTCAGACCTTGCTTCAAATTATTTGTTCCACTACTTACTAAGTGAAATGGAAATAACACCCCTACTTTGCTAGCATGGTCTGAGGAGTAAATGAGATAACATCCATCAAATGGCCCACATTCAGAGTGTAGGATCCAGAGCAGGCACATGGTAAAAAAAAATAACTCTCTTTCCTCCCGGCCCCTCCAACCCAACCCTCACGCCCATACAAAAAACACTACTTAAAAATTCTCCCCAAAATATTTTTACACAATAGGGACACAACAAATAATTTCAGTTTAAGGCAGAAACTAATTTATGAATGCATCACAGGAACATATCATTAATATTATTCTAATGTTTTAGGGTAGCCTCAGATGATCTCACAAAGGGGGAGAAAATGACTATGATGGCTCACCAGTCCTCTTCTTGGATCTTCATCAATGAGAGGACATTCATTACCAGGTAACTGTACACCTGTATTATATGTTATTCTAGTTATCAGTCATTTGTGGATTACACCTTATGTATATTATGCATTTTGTCATTCTAAGCTTTTTTTTTTTTTTTTTTTTCGCGGTACGGGGGCCTCTCACTGTTGTGGCCTCTCCCGTTGCGGAGCACAGGCTCCGGACGCGCAGGCTCAGCGGCCACGGCTCACGGGCCCAGCCGCTCCGCGGCATGTGGGATCTTCCCGGACCGGGGCACGAACCCGCGTCCCCTGCATCGGCAGGTGGACTCTCAACCACTGCGCCACCAGGGAAGCCCCCTAAGCTTCATTTTGAAAGCTTTAACCGTATTGGAAAAACTTGGAAAATGGCATCATTACATTTTCTAATTTTTCTCATCTGCTACGAAGAGAGCCCAGCGAATTAAATGTTATAAAAATTATGAGGCCTTTGTAAAATATTTCAGAAAATATGATATAAAAAGTGCCTAAATTTGGGTCTTCCATAGGTATTATAATAAAGTCTAAATGTGTATCAATAAAAAAAGCATGATGTATGAACCACAAGATCAATGATATGAATCATCAGTTGAGACACTGAATTAGAAATTGAATAAATACGTTCCTGAAGACTGAAAAGCCATAGCCTATCATGGAACAATGACTCATATTTCATAAATAGTGGTCTAATTTCACCAAAAGCTAAATTTCTATTTTAATAGTTGTCACAGTTCTCAGGAACAGCATTAAGTAAAGGATCCGAGGCTCCTCATAAATAATATATCCAAAGAATTAGCCTATGGGCTTAAACCAGGCTTTCCTGGCCTCTCCTTCCCTCTGTTGCTCCTCAGGACATACTTCATTTTTACTGTTTCCCTCTTGATGTTAGATTATGAATAGATGGTCAACAGCTATGGCTATTTTCTTATACACAGCAGATAGCATCTTATGCTAGTTTAGGAATAATAGAGCAGGGATTTGAAAACTATAAGAGTGAAGATAAGGGACGAACCTGGCTGAGCTAGAGCAGAAGCTGAAAAGGGAAAAGACACAAAGGTAAGAAAAAAAACAAGTCGCCCTGGAATGTGATCCATGTCTTACAGGGAAGAGAAACAAAGCCAAATAAATGACAGAGGAAAGTAGTATAAATGATGCAGGATTGCACAATGGGAAAGCAAAAGGAATAAATATGGTCAAAAATGGAACTAAAGCCACAGCTGGAGGATAAGCATGAAATATAAGAGGCGGGAAGAAGGCAGGAAGTAAAAGATAGAGGAGTTATTCATTCCTCAGGTACTTATAAACTGCTTCCTACAAGCAGTTTATACTCCTGTGGACACTGAGCGTTCAGTAATGAATGAAACAAAACCCTTACCCTCATGGGGTTGCCTCCTAAAAGAGGGATACAGTCAAAATGTAGGATAAATGTAAAACAAGATGCACTATTAGGTGCTGAAGGATATGAAGAATAAAGCTGGAAGGGGAGTAATGATTGCGGAGGGTAGAGAGCAGTGAGTTATGATTTCATATAAGATGGCCAAGGAAGGCCTCGGGAAGGACGTAGCAGTAGGGAAAAGCCTGAAGGAGGGAAGTGAGTGAGCTGTGTGGGTATCTGGCTGGGAGCCTCCCAGGTCCCCTTCCAGGAAAGGGGACACCAAGTTCACAGCCCTGAGGCAGTCACACGCCTGTAAGGGTGCAGGAAGCTGGTGTGGGAAAGTGAAATAGGGAGGACAGTAGGAGAAGGTGAGGTCAGAGACAGAATGGGGCCAGAATATGTAAGGCCTCATAGGCCACTGAGACTTCGTCTTTCCCACTTACAAGATGAGAAATCATTGAAGATTACTGAGTACACGAGTGACTGAATCTGTCTGGCTGCTGCTTTAAGAACAGGCTGAAGAGGGCACAAGGATAGAAGCAAAGAAACTATCAAGGAGCGGATAGTCCAGAGTAGAGATGATGGTGGCTTGGACCGAGGTGGCAGGGGTGGAGGTGGGGAAAAATGCTCAGATTCTGGGTATATTTTAAAGGAAGAAACAATAGGATTTCCTGAAGGATTAGATGTGGGTATGAGAGAAAGAGAAAGATTAAGGATGATTCCAAGGATTTGGGTCAGGAAGAATGGAGTGAATACTTTCTGACATTATAAAGACTACAGGAGGAGCAGGTTTGGGGTAGAAGATCGGGAGTTCAGTCCTAGACAAGTTACATTTGAGACTGACTAATGTCACCAAGGGAATAAGTGTGATAGAGAAGATTCAAGATCCAGGGTTAGAAAAGAGTGAAAGGAAAAGTAGGAAACAAGGCGAGCAGTAGTACATTGGATGGAAAGTGGGCAGAAGGCATGTGAACACTGAACAGAGGGGAGGGGCAGTGATAGAGTGGGCAAGTATAGAAAACACCGCTTGGGGGTGTCAAGGCAGCTAAAGTGTTGCTGGGGATACAAGGAGAAGAGGGAAGTTGAGAAAATGGGAAATTGAAATGAAAGGCAGAAATTAATTTTTAAAATAAGTGCAGATGACTGATAATGAAAGTCAGAGAAAGTAACATCCATATGAAACCAAAGGGAAGAGAGATAGAAAGATCCTAGAGAGAAGTAAGAGATGGACATGGTAACAGGATGGACATTGTTGAGAGGACCTGAAAGATGATGGTTTGGGAAGAGAAAATGATGAAAAAAGCATGTGAGTGATCTGCAGGGGAAGCAGGAGGCAAATGAGATTCAAGATAGAGGGATGATGGAGAAGATGAGAGAGACTGTGAAGAAAAGGGAAGACGCTCACGAGAGAGTGACAGGAAGGGCAGAACAGGGTAAGAGCCCAGCACAGCCCCAAGAAGGTCCCCCTACCACAGTGCCTCCCCCCAGAGAAAATTACAGAAACATTGAACAAAGGTGTCTCCAAAGACAGTAGCCCTGGGTCTACACCAGTGTTCCTTTTTGCGTAAATGCCTTCTGTGCAGTGTAAGTTTAACCAGCCAGGAAAACAAACTTACCACACTGGGAGGGAAATTTCGAGAAGAAACAGTACACGGCATAAGAGAAGAATGTACGAACCCTTGTACGTATTTTCCTGTTATTCAACTCTGCTTGACTCAGGTCAGCCCATGGAATCCTGATTCTCACCTCCCACCAGCCCCGCCCTCAGTGCATTGCTAAACCACTCCTGGGGCCACCTCTCAGTCTGAGGTTGCAATCTTTTCTTTTTCATCTACTTCAGCTACACAGCTGCTCTTGACCTCTTGGATTCCTGAGAAAGCAAGGTCCTTTCTCACCAAAACCTTTAGATTTACCCTTATGATCAGATTAAAGGCACCCCAAGCAGGCACCCCAAGCAGGCACCCCACAATCCAAATAGCAATTCACAGTCCCCTTCTGCACTCACTGGCGTCTCCATGACCTCTCTTCCCCTATAAAACCTCAAGACAAAGGTCAGAGAGAAGTCCCAGTGCCCTCCCTAACTCATGTCTGCTCCAAGGGGTGGTCCTGTTCTTCCCAATCCTGCTATTGGTTCACATGTGTTTCTCTTTATTCTCAGGCCTTGAATCCTCTGTTTCTCTAGAACAGCTTTCTTCCACCTTCATGAAGCTCTTTGTTCTGTTCTTAATTGATTTATGTCGATCTCACTTGTAGCCATGAGCAGCTGATGGTAACTTCTCGTCCTGGACACCACATTCCTTTTATTCATCTGTGTAATCACAGTATGAAAATCAAGAATTTTCCCTGAAATGAACACCTATTCCATACACCGGTGGTTACCAGGTCAACTTCCGTTTCCTTTGTAATATTTTATAGTTTCCCAGTCTCAGTTTCTCACTTTTCCCATGAAATCCTCCCTGAACTGCAGTAAGATTTTAATTAGCCTGTTAATTACTTGTGTGTTTGTTCTTTTAAAATATTTACTTCCTAATTATGAAAGTATGATTATTTTATAAATTATTGTATTTTATATATTTATATTATAAAAGCTGAGAAAATATAGAAACATATAAATTGAAAGAATAAAGTTATCCATAATCTTACTACTCAGAAAATGTACTATTTAATTTTGTCATATGACCCATATTCTAAGGATTTTATTTTATATAGTTGAGATCATTCTATATCTTGTTTTACACACCTGGCATTATATCACAAATATTTCCCCATACTATTAAAATAATCTTCCTAAAGATGATTTTAATGATACTATATCACTCAACAATATAGAAATGTCATAATATAATTTCTTTAATTTTGACCTTCAAGATGGCTCCAATATTTTGAATATACAAGGACTAGTTCACAGAAGTGTAATTACTGAATCAAAGTATACAAGTAAATCTAATGTTATTGTTACAAATTAGCTTTCTAAAATAGTTTGATGAGCTGTCTCTCCCACCAACAGCTTAAGGCTTCTTGCCTTGTCTTTACTGCCTCATACCAGGTGCCTGGTTTCCCAAGGTAGAATGTAAGCCCCTTGAAGGTAAGACCTAAGTATCTTTTGCATCCTCTTTCCCAAGGTGAGGTACCTGGATGGCCTTGATACATGAGATGATTTTAGGTTAAACATACATAATTGGTTTTTATTTGAACACTCTTGGAAAGCATTAGAAAAATATAACTAGCACATGAAATCTTTGATTTCACAAACATTATTTCTCAGGACAGATAAAAGCTTGCTTAGTAAACAAGTTACTAAGTAACTTGGTTGGGTTTCTGTCACTCACAACCATGGGTCCTATAACTAATGAAAACACCCATCCTGAACCACATGCTATCAGAACACTCTCACTTTCTAATGTATTATATTTATTTATTTTATTCCCCAAATAAGACTGAAAATTTAAGGGGAGAGGGTAGTGTTTCATATATAATTCTGCAAATATTAATGCAATAAGTAATACATAATTGTTGAATAAATATATCAAAAGAGAAACATCAACTAGAAAAATATTAAGTGATAACAGATTATACTTGGAGTTAGCCAAACTCATAAAAGCAGTACATGAATAATTAGTTTTGGACAGCACATCCATAGCC